GACGGATGGACAGACGGATGGATGGATGGATGGATGGATGAATATCTAGATAGATATGACTTCATTAATCTCATGGGAAAATAAGGATAATCATACGTTTTGTAAAAGCCTTTGTCAGCTTGTCACTGCTTGATGATGTTAGAAATGTTTTTTGTTTTTTTTTTAAAACCCTTCACTGTAGTTTTCTGCGAGACGAGTAACTTTGAACTAAGGCAAAAGAACCGTTCACAGAAATCAAGATGTACGTTGACCTCGCAAGGCTCCAGACACCTTGTTAGCATTATAAAGGCTCAACCTTTTCCCTCTGACAAACGGGCCGCTTGACTACAGCTGCACTCCCATTGTCACACAAATCGTGTGGCGTCACACCTCATTCACCACCGTGTGTTAAAGCCCTGTGACTTTACTGTCACCAGGAACACCTGGATCAGAGGTTCCCAGAACTTTGGCTTGTGACCCCATTTTGACAATAATAGTAATTTGTGAGTAGTTTGATGAAATATTTTTATCAGTTTTTTTTTCTTCAATCAATTACTAGATATTTTAGGTGAGCTCCCATTTGAATTCTAGGCGACCCCACTTTTTCTACAGCTTATTTTAAAGACAAACGTAATTCAATTTCTGTTCAATAACAGCTTACCTCTGCGTTGGACTGATAGCGACAGACCACACTCTGTCAAACATGGAAATGGTGTGTCTGGGGCAGCTGGAGGTCAAAGTCCATACCTAAAAATATAAAGGTATCTGATGAGCGCACGTGGAAAGATATTGCAGTTAGCAATGCAGACAACTTCAGTATGAGAAGAATGACTTAAATGACAATGCTAAACTAATCTATCCTTTTTATCTACAGATCATCTTTCCTCGTTTTCTCCTGCCTGGCAACTGCATCTCCAACATCCTTTCTCTGATATATTCACTATCGCTCCGCAACATATGTCCAAACGATCTAATCCTCACCTCTCCAACCTAAACTCCACCTTAACTGTCCATCCTGGTCACTAGCAGTAACAATCTCAGCATCTTCCCTTCCCTTCTAAAAGTAAAAAAAAAAAATACTTCATTCACAATGTACTTTGAGTAAAAGTTACTTTAAATTACTTGACGCACGTACTTGCGTCCTCCCTCAAATCTGCAACTCATGAACGCTTGTACTGTAAATTCAAGCCACGAAAGAACACTGAAGTTCTGACAGTGACAGCTCTGTCCACCGGGGGGCAGGAACATTTGACATTACCTGATAAAGTCATTGCCTCGTTTGCATTTCAAAACAAAGAGCTGACTGAGATATGACCAAGGATTTCCTTCTCTTTCTGAGTCTTGATGACCAGGATGATGACCAGCCATCGTCCAATGACAGGCCTAGAGTCTGTTTCCTAGTCTATGTTATCTGGTTACATTAAAATAGTGGGAAATCTGCCTACGCAATTTAACTTCAGTTATCGCAGATTGTTTTTCCCTCACATTTAATTTTTTACTCAGTAAGCGGTTTTTTTCCCCAATGTAGCAAAGTAAAATACTTGAGTCAAAACGTAATTAAGTAAAATTCCCAAAATTACTTAAAAATGACAAAGTACATGACAAAAAAAAACGAATCAATTACAGTTACTTGAGTAAATGTAACCCATCCCCTCTCTCTCGAGCCACTTTTACGATATTTCTTAGTACTTAACCAACCTGACTATCCTTTCAAGCTCTTTCATTGTAGCCATTTCTTACAAATCCTTCTGCCCTTCCTCACTTTCCAACCCTTCAAAGAATGCACGTTGTGTGAGTGTGTACATGAAAATACTGTATTTGGGTTTTACCCGAGTTGTTTGGTCCCTGGAACCGCTGACGATAAGTCCGTCTTTAGAGTCCAGGCAGTTTACTTCCTGGTTATGACTTGATAACTGCATCAAAACATTTCCTCTCCGGTTGTAAACCATGATCTTGCCATCACTGAGGAAGGATCATAATTTTAAAGTTAGATAAATTAATTAGTTGCATTTATAAAAAAAAAATATTTCATGTGATGCACTAAATTGACACATTTATTTCTTGTTCTGCTTGTTTTCTTTTGTACACGCATTATTTATACTTTTACACAATTTCACGTTCTATATATATATATAAATATATAAATATATATATAAATAAATATATATATATAAATATATAAATATATATATATATAAATATATAAATATATATATATATAAATATATAAATATATATATAAATAAATATATATATATAAATATATAAATATATATATATATAAATATATAAATATATATATATATAAATATATAAATATATATATATATAAATATATAAATATATATATAAATAAATATATATATATAAATATATAAATATATATATATATAAATATATAAATATATATATAAATAAATATATATATATAAATATATAAATATATATATAAATAAATATATATATATACACACGTATATATGTACACACACATATATATATACATATACATATATACTACTACATATATACTACTACATATGTACTTACTTAGGATTAATCGCAGGGTTGGTGTGGATTAATCATGAAGAATAATTACAATTACTAAACTTTTTGTACATTTCTTTTTCTGTATATTACTTGAGAAAAAAGATCAATAACATGGTATAAAATTATAAACTGTCTGAGTCTGAGAGCATTATAGCTCCATAATATAAATGAGAGGATGACTTTCTTCAACTCACCTTCCACCACTGATGAGGTGAGAGTCCGTCAGAGCAAAGTGACATACGTCACCAATGTGTCCTGAGTATATTGCTACCGGGTTGCGCTGTAGCCTGCCACTGGATATACGATACGCTCCTATATCGCCAGCCTGGGACAGAAACAGTAGGTCTCCGTCCAGCTGTAACCACGGTAACAGTCTAATTAAAAAAAAAAGACAAAAAAAATGACACAAATTAGGACGTTCCTATGATGTAGAACAGGGGTGACAAACGTACGGCCCGTGGGCCACAACCGGCCCACTGGGTTGTTCAATCCGGCCCACTTACAGATACACAAACACTTCATGTTCGAGATATTTAGGAATAATAAATATCTTATACACTTATTTGCATGAAAACAAAAGGAGAACAAACAAGGAATAATAAATATCTTATATACTTATTTGCATGAAAACAAAAGGAGAAAAAACATGGACTTATTGTTATTTATAGCTAATCATGTTATGACTGTACTGGTCCGGCCCACTTGACATCTAATTAGGTTGCACGCGGCTCCGTGAACCAAACTGAGTATTGCAGTCCTGAAGTAGAATAATCTTTTTTTTTGTCTAAAAGCCTGAAGAAAATTTGGTAATGGAAGATATAGCTCCAAATGAGCTATTCTGTACTATAATTTATTAAATAATTTACTGAACAACATAACTAAAGTGTATTATTGCCAAATATTACATATAAGTACACTCAGACTACTGCAGTTATTTTATAAAAAATATCTTACACCTGGGAAATGCCAGTCTCTTCTTAGGAGAATAATGACAGTGACTCACTTTGTTTTCCATCGGAGAAGAATTCCCCTTCTGCAGGTCCCAGCACCCCAGTTTTGTGCGACCCTGACTCTCTCCTTCAGCGAGATCTGAGGGTATCTACAAGAACAGCGACAAACAGACATAATCACGTCCTTGTTGTAAACAACAGCTCTAACTGATACATGAAATTATACAGGAATATTAACATAAGAAATAAGAGAGGCAAGTAATGTGTTGACGTACGTCAGTAATTCTCAACCTTTCACTCCTGCTTTTACTACGGTAGAAGCGCATGCTAGGTCACGCGCTTGTGCTCAGAGTACCTGTGTACCTCTTGCTTTAAAGTAAACACACATTGAGAAACGTATTTAAAGAAACATTTTATAACTTTAATATTGTATTAAAATGTGTTCATATATTTTTAAAATATATTTAATCCTCAAAAAAAGTATCTTCCTCTCTGGGGATAATCCTCAAAAAAACTCAAAAAAAGTATCTTCCTCTCTGGGGACGTGATATTACTGATGTTTTTATATAAAAAAATGTAGGAAGAAGCCTGTTTATTGACAATATATTCAAATTTGATATTGGAGATAAAACTCACTTTCAGAGTATATTAGCAGAAGATTAATTTTATATTTCACGTATATTTCAATTCTTTAAAGACCAAGTTAATTTCCAAGTCTTTTACTCATTCTTTTTTGTGTCTTTTAAGAGCAGCCAAACTAATGGGAACTGTTGTCATATTACTTTAATGTCTAAAAAAACCAGGAAAGCATTAAAACAAAGTTATAAAACACCTACAACTAGTTCGAGAACCAACTAAACCGGTTGGTCCCCCACCAGAGGGTAAAGTGTCTGAAGAAGAACCGAGGTATCTTCTCATGTTTTCAGGGGTTGAGTTAACAACATAATGTGTCAGAATTATTAATAAAAGATATTTAAATTATATCTAAGTGACACGTCTGTACAAGAAAGCTAACGGAAAAGCAAGAATATCACCGTACTGTTATCGAGGACGACGCTTTCTTTAACACATTTTAATGTGGCCATATAAACAGACGACCAGTCTCTGTGCTATTTTTACACCGGCTAGGTTTAGCTTCCCGCCCCCAAAACCTTGAACACACACACACACCAGACAGGGTTGGTGGAGCATTTTTTAAATTTTCTTTCACCCACTGAAAACACGTATTTTTACAGACACTGAAAGAGGACCCACAAACACACACACCGCAGACAGCTCTTACATGTCCGTTCCGTCCTGCCTGATGCCTGTGTTTAGCAACTGTTTTGCTATCTTTCTCCACACACTGTCCCGATTCACAAACACGCGCGCACTTCTGCAGACTTGTGAGAGGCGTATGAGCGACCTGACGTCCAGATACGACAGGATGTGATAGAGAACTTCATCGGGAAGCTTCAGCAGGCCCATCCTGCGCCTTCAGCGTTCCGACGGCTATTCTGCTACCACTTAAACACCTCACCGCCGCAACCAAAGTCAGCGTGCACCACGTTACATAGTAAACAGGAAGTCCTTCTTCGCAGACAGCTGACAGCTTATGACGACAGCGTCACGTGACTCTTCCGGAAGTTTTAATTGGAGCTAACTGTGCGTTCATTTACTGCATTACTACTAAACGGACTTGTGGTAAAATAAAATAAAATAAAATAAAATAAAATAAAATAAAATAAAATAAAATAAAATAAAATAAAATGAAATAAAATGAAATAAAATTAAATTAAATTAAATTAAATTAAATTAAATTAAATTAAATTAAATTAAATTAAATTAAATTAAATTAAATTAAATTAAATTAAATTAAATTAAATTAAATTAAATTAAATTAAATTAAATTAAATTAAATTAAATTAAATATGAATGTATAAAATAAACCCAGCATCATATTTTATGACATTACAGGGAGTAATAACAAAGCTGTTCCTCTACGCATCTTTAAATGTCTATACGTTCTCAAATAGATGCTCAGATTGAAGACGAGATGGAAGGCATCATCAGCTTAGGTTCAACACCAGGCCCACCAGTTGAACCACTCGTGTGGTTGGAGGTCTGGACCAACCCATGCAGGAAGAAGAGAGAGAGCGCTGTCATTGGCTGCCTTCATCTAATTCCCTATGCATTTAGAGCTGAGAAAATGGCAGTCTAGTTTGTTCGACAAGGAGGTCTGTATGCAGCAACCACCTTGCTATAAGCCCATGTCCACTATTTCTCCACAATTCCTCACAGCCTGTCGTAGCAGCCAAAAGCCCCACCAGTACAACCACTAGCTCCCCCTTGTGGTTTAAACTACCTCTATGCTTAGCTGCCCCCCATCCCTGTCCACATCATCAGCTGATTGTCCAGACACACCCCTCATCTGTCACCTGCCAATTCTTGAAACCTCATTCCAGTCCAATTACTGTAAATCCACAGTCACCCCTCAACCCTGACTTCCCCGGGCTGACCACATGGGGCAGAACTCAGCCCACTAAACGCGGAGAACAAAACAAGCAGACTGAGCAAATCTGGAAACTCACAACAAAACTCAACCAGTGGAACCACAAGGAACGGAAACGCACAGACATGACAGAACTAGATGACATAAAGCATGTGTTAAACTCAAGGACCGGGGGGCAAATGCGGACCGCCTAGCCGTTTTATTATTTAAAAATGTTGCCAAATTATATCAATTTAAAGAAAGCAAATATCCATTTGATTGGATTATCCTTGAATGAAGTAAATTAGTAAAATTAAGTAAAAAAATTTCAGTGTCCCAATGCGGCCCAGTACCAAATTACCTATGGACTGGTACAGGTCCACGGACCACGGGTTGGGCACCCCTGATCTATACAGCCTTCCATTTACAACCGGCCCTTCAAGGGGAACTGTATTGCTGAGTGTGACAGCCCCGACATAAAGGCAGTAGACGAACATGTAGAGCAGAACAGGCGGACAACCCAGAAGAGAACCCAGCCAACTGAACACAAAGAACAGAACACAAAACCTGGACGGATAGAACAGGCAAAGCAGAAGGCTGAGCAAGGCAGATAACACAGAATACAGCTAACAAACACAGAGAACAGATGAAGCAGCCTGAACAGAACCAAACTGCAAGTAGCCGGTAAGACAGAACAGGAAACAGGCAACAGACTGGACCAGAGACGAGCAACACAATTGGAACTGAGGCAGGCGGACAGAAAACTAGGTCAGAGGGTTCAGGCCTATGGAACTGGAAGCCCATAATGTCGTGGGTGGATTTTGGGGCTAGCTTGATAATGTTACAGATGATGTCATCAGATAAATATTAGATGGATAGATGTTTTTCAGATGGTGCTATAAATGGTTGGTTCAGGGGCCACATGCGGCCTGATTAGATGTCAAGTGGGTCGGAGCAGTTACAATCATAACTTTACCTATAGATAACATAACATTACTTATAATGAATGTTTTCCCTTTTGTTTTCCTGCGAATAAATACAAGTATATTTATATATATATTTATATTTTAATGAAATATAATTTGTCAAAACATCATGAACGTGTAGTGTTTGCGCATTTTTTCACTTTCAAAATTCATCAAGCGGCCCGGATTGAACCCCCTAGCGCATTGTTTCCCTGGGTCGCGACCCTCAGGTGGATCGCAAAAGATTTTTTCTTTAGGTCGTCTCACATCATGTTTCCTAGGAGTTTATGAATAATGTCTATCGACTTGGATCGCGAAGGTTTGTGACTTTTAAAATATGGGTACTCAGAAAAAAAAGTTTGGCCATCTTTGGCCCGCGGGCCGTATGTTTGACACCCCTGGTGTAATGACTACTTCAGAGTAGACTGACCTTTTGACATTATTTATGAGGAGCCAAACTGTTGTAGCAGCGGCAGCATAGTTTGCGCTAATTCAAATAATTCGAGTCCTCTAAAGGCCCTCAGTGATAAGTGGGACAATCGTGATTCTTTGATCCACCGAACAAAAATTAAAAATATGCATTTGTTTTCCTTTAGGCCGTGCCCTCTCTCTCAGTGAACACCCCAAGTTCACAGAAAGACCAAATGTCCCAAACACTGGGCCGTCGAGGGAAATCATTTATGGTTGGTTTTTCCAACTGAATTGTTGCGGTTGACAGAAATTGAAGAGGTTCTAAGGAGGGACATGTGTGGCGTGGGGAGATGGTTTCACAAGGCCCTGGAAGGGAGAGTGGGGTCGGGGGAGTGCGCTCCCTTTTGATCTTTTTAGGGCAGCAGGGGGTGAAGGGCAGAGAGGTGGTGGGGTGGGCGAGAGTTGCACTGTCTGGACTGGCAAACACATTTAGCTGTTAATTGTTCAGATTAGACTGACTATCAGTCCTGAAAATGCACAGACAAACAGAGGTTTACAGCTCCAATTGGTAAGGTCAATGGGTCTGACATGAGCTATGAACATTATTTATATTCAACAACAGTATGAGAGGTTAGTGGGGGGATGAATTCGTGTATAATACAGGGGGCAGATTATTGAATGGAAACTATATTTAAGCTGCGGAAATATTCATTCGTCAACTTAAAGTTATAAAAATGATATACAAATATTATAAAAATACCTCATTTATTTAACCTGCTTGCAAAAGTTATACAAATTAGATTTTTTTTTTTCCGCACAGATAGATGCGGAATGTAATAAGGGGTAATTCCTTGCTGTCAGATTTTTGTTTTAATTTCTGAGGCAAAATTCTGTTTTTGTGTTTTTTTTTACCTCATTTATTTAACCTGCTTGCAAATTAAACCTTGTAAATTTCAAACATACCTTCATTAAAGAAACTGTCTGTCGTCACTAATTACTCAAATATCAACAATATCAGCATTACAGAATAATAACATTTTAGCATACGTAAGCAATAATGTTTTTACAGGACATTTCTCCTGTAAAATTTGACTTTTTGTCCAAGAACATAAGCAATAATATTTTTACAGGACATTTCTCCTGTAAAATTTGACTTTTTGTCCAAGAGATTTCCTGCCAAATACACTCTCCATACTTAAAATGATGTAAAGTATATAATATATAAATGATTAAAGTTTTGGATATACTTCAAGATTTTGATCACTATGAAAAAGAAAATTCAGCTTTTTTAAATTGTCACAAAGATACGACCTTATTTAACCATTGCCATAATATCAACACTTTCTATATTATTTCTACATCATTTACTTAAAGTGTATTTGCTAACGCTAGGCTGCTGCTTAAAGCTTATCATAACTAATAAGCGTTTAGGCTCATATGTAAAAGGTAGAAGAAAAAAAAAAACCCAAATCCTCCGTGTTATTGGGCGTTGGAGGGAGGTTAGGGTCATGTGTCCTGGTCATCTTTTGTGTGAGTCTGGGAGTGGCTGTGTTTGTTTGTCTTAGGTTAAGATGAGGGTTCAATAAAATGGATGAAAGTGATGTTACCCCCTGTTTCTCCTCCACTGGAATTGCTCCACATTTGCATGGCGGTTTTATTGACCCAGAAGGTGTGATTTTTCCCACAGCAGTACTCATGGCCCATTCTGCCTTTTGGGCAGTGAGGGCGGTGGTGAGGTCTGCGACAGAGTAGATTCAGTTCCCCGCTTTTGAAAGACAATGATTATTATTAATTTACTATTTCCACTACTACTAATACTACTACTACTACTACTACTACTACTACTACTACTACTACTTCATATGGGATCATGTTCTGCTGATTCAACAAACTGTACAGAACATGTTAATTGTTTGTCCAGGTCTGACACGTTTAACTGCAGTTGTACACGCTCTATCTATCTATCTATCTATCTATCTCTCTATCTATCTCTCTCTCTATCTATCCATCCATCCATCTATCTATCTATCTATCTATCTATCTATCCATCTATCCATCTATCTATCTATCTATCCATCTATCCATCTTTCTATCTATCTATCTATCTATCTATCTATCTATCTATCCATCCATCCAGCCATCCATCCATCTAACAATGTCGATTGTGATGATAAGACTTGACTGAAATGAATAGACAGTGGAATGATTGGAAATACAGCGCCTGTGATTCTACTGTGTTAGAATCCATTTAAAGTTTGAATATGACTCATTTTGCGAATTAGTTAACATGATTAACGCAATGATTCCGACAGCCCGAGAAGGAACATCAGACGTCTTGTCTTGAATAATGAGTCTTAAAGCATACACCAAGGTCAAGGTTTAAAGGTTTGTGTTTCAAAGTAGGAGCCATCTAGAACAATCAAGTTGACATATTTGTCCTCCCCAGACGTGAGATGATGTACATGGTCTACATAGAAAGACGCTCACAAAGATCTTCTTTAACAGCTTTGATTATCTTTTTTTTTTTTTTTTTTTGGTTTTCATAGCCATCTGCTGCCACCTAGCAGAAGAGGATTTAATTGTTCTGCCTTTCAAACTTTGATGAGCAAAGAGCAGAAATTACATAAAATAAATAAATAGTTTTTTCATACTTTGATGAGCAAATTACATAAAATAAATAAATAGTTTTCTATTGCCAGACTACTTTTAAATTAAGAAATTATATGGATATATTGATTCTTATAAACGAAGTAAACTAGTAAAAATCAAATAATTTTTTGACTGTGTCTCAAATGACCTACGGACTGGTCCACACACCTAGTGTTGAGGACCAGTGTTCCAGGATATATTAAACTACTCGATCATATCCACTTCAGGCGTGTACAGACGGACATTCAACTCAAGCACGAGAGTTTAGTATTAGTAGTCTTTTGTACATTTATTACATGTTTTAAATAAATATATGGTCTTCAAAATAATTTTACATCCCCAAATAAAAATATATTTATATATGTATTTAAACAGATATACAGAAAGGCTACAAGAACACAACTCGGGCAAAGGTGTGGGAGTCCCTTATGCTTCGATGTACTATGTACATGTCAATGTCACATTACTTAAAAAAAAAAAACAACCATTTTCTCAAATGTAGCTGCCATATTGTTTCTTCAGAAATGATTTTTGCGTTGGACTGAGATGAGAACCAAGAACATTGGAAGGTGTTAGGCGTCACCCGCAATCGTTTACTGGTTGAATTGCAGCGATGATCACCCGCACACCATCTACGCATATTCTATATTGGGTTTCTTTACCTTTTCATTTGGAAAGTTAATATCCAAAAAAAAAAAAAAGCTAAAAACTGCACCTTATAAAAAATGATAATAAATGTATCATTTTTCCATACACTTCTAGTCAAACCCACCTAGTTTTCTGAATTAATGACAATGATAATGACATTCCTCTTTTTGGGTTCATTTAAACTTTTTTTGGGCTCATTTTTCAAGCTAAAAAACCCTCTTCTGTGTACTCATATTGTTCATCATGCCACATTTTGCTTGCACTACAGTTAGTGTCTCGCAGCATTACATGGCAGTGCAGTCAACAGTGACCTTTCAAGTATCTTTGAGCAGCAAGCAAGAGTCCGAAAAGTTGACTCCGAAAAATGAGACCAATGGACACAATAACATTAAACAGAAAATCACCACTATGCTAAGATATCTCCAAACAGTCACGTGAGTTATCCTACACCCCCTATTTTTCCTTTTTACACAAGTCAAAAGTTTGTTGTACAAAAATAGATTTCTTTATATTTTCCTATAAACAGCTTCCTTCACGTTGAACACCGACACGGCGTGGCAATGCTCAGTATGAAACGTCTCTCTCTCGAGTTTTTGGTGCGGGAGCCAGGGAGTGTGTTAGCTCCTGCTAATTTAGTCACATTTCCTTCAGCGTGATCCCTCCACGTTGTCTACCCTGCTTCTCCTGTTAGCACTTTACTGATCAGTGACGTGTGCGTTTAGTCCTTTTACTGAAGGGGTACTGGAAAAAGTTGAAAGGCTCATGCTGACTTGGGTGAGCGGGCTGCTGTCCCTTTGGCAACCTCTTCATAAAATGGACCTCCCGTTGGTGCTTGCGGGTTTGCGAGCCCTTGCGCGGACGCCCACGACGCGTGAAGGCCATGTACCAGTTCTCGTAGTGGGCGTTCCGCAGTGCTGTGTAATTGTTCTCCAGGACGATTTCGGTGAAGATGCAATCCCGGCCGTGGCCGTTTTTCTGTGGGGAAAAACACAAGTAAAACGGTCAGTGGTCGTGTACCTGGAGGAGACCTCAACCGCGGAATACAGTCATGTGTAAAGGCTAACACGTTAGCCTAAGCCTTTCCATGTCATCAGCCTTCATTAACCTGGATCCCTCCACTGCTCTGAGCTCATTTATATCTGGGCTTAAAATACACAAGCCTGATACAGAAACACACCAGATGAATTCATTTACGTCCAAAAACAGTTGCAAGACGATTGCAGGGTTAGTTCAGTACCTATAAACACTCAGTGATTAGCATATTTCCTATAACCTTATATATATAAAATGGAAAAATATAACACCTCTAAAATACACTGGCCAACAGTAGGACAGGCTGCTCTAGGTCCGTGGCCCAGACAGATGGTATACGAGGCAGGGTGCTGGATGGGTGAAGGGCAGTGTGTGTACGTGCTTGAGTGTGTGTGTATGTAAGAGAGAGAGAGAGAGAGAGAGAGAGAGTGTGTGTGAGAGAGAGTGAGAAACGGTGAGAGTTGTCTATCCCTCGCAAAAAAAACCCATATATATGTACAGATACACATCGTGTGTGTACACCTTACCTTGCCGATGAGTTTCCCCCTCTTATTCATACAGATGTAGAAACCCGTCTCAGCTCCCTTAATCCGCACTCTGCTCCCAAAGGTGTCTGTTTCCACTATGAGTTTTGCTGCAAGACAAGTGGAAAAGATGCTCTCAAAATAGTGTTGTAAATATAAACATTTTTATCTCAAATAAAAGGTGAATCTTTGTTTGTGATGTAAACAAAGGATTTTTAGAAAATTTATATAAAAAACCTACTTATCTTGCACGCTCAAATAAAGGTGAATCTTTGTGATGTGCACAAAGGATTTTTAGAAAATTATATAAAAAACCTACTTATCTTGCACAAAGAAGACATATATACATACATATATATATATCACTTTCTATTGTCTTTGCAGCAGAAAGAAATTTCCACTTTGAACTCCCTAAATTTAGGTTCATCGTGCGTTGTAGGGTTAATAGAAAAAACATATGACACATCAATTTATGGCTTTAGGGTTTTTTTTCCCATACATAGTCACTTTATTTCTTTCTCTGCCATGTGAAGATTGTCATTAAGGCGCAATCCCTGGTTGATTCGTATCATAAAATGTATTTTTTTAGATGAAGCGTTTATGTTGTTGATGAGAAGATTAAAAAAAAATAATTCAAACCAACATTCTTACAAAATATTTAGCACTTTTTTTGGAAATCTGAAATAACTGTTAAAACACACTATAAAACATAATAAAGTCCTCGCACACCACACCACATATCCATATGCCTGCATAATCTAGATCCCAAATGTGCCTGATTTAATCTTGTATTCACTCTATCAGAACGCAAAAATACTTAAGTTGCATGAAACTGCTTTAAACTCCTGCAAGCAGGCCCTATTTTGGATCTAATGGTTTGGAAAAAAGCAGGCATATAGAGAAGAAACTATGCAGGAAGTGTTTGATACATAAAAAGTAAGAAGACTTGTATAATGGGTCTAGCAGACAGGCAGGATCCTCCAGGAAAAAACCACCAGCACCTACAACAATCAGCCTTTCAAGTTCCTGAGATCCCAGCCAGTTTCAATGCTCCAGTTAACATCACAGTCTGCAGGGATTAATCAATGAAAAACCTTTCACGGACAGTATTTTTGAAAAGGCACAGATGGGGGCGTTGAATAAACATTCTTAAGTCACCCAATTTTACAAAAAAAAAAGAGTAAGTCCCTGCTTTTTAACCATAGGTGCTAACATTTTAGCATCTAGGGTTAAAAAGACAGAGAAAGATAGAATATGAACATTTTGTTTCACAGACTACTTAAAGCAACATTCGTTTTTTGTTTTTGTTTTAGGGGCAGCATAACATTTTAGGGTTTTAACAGGTTTTAATTTTTTTTAATAAAATTTTAAATTGCGGTCGCATTTTTAGCATGGCGGAGAGTGGGGGACCACTTTTTAGCGTAAGTGACGCATATGAGTCCAAACGAAGATAACTACAACTGTGGCGCGAAAAAAAAAACTAAATAAAAAAAAAACAGAAAACCGGCGGCAGCACAATTCACAATGTAATATAAACTTTTAAAACTACGTTTAAAAAGAAAGTTTTTTTTTTGTTCTTACCGTGTACGTCGCCGTCTTCGGCCATGGCATTGATTTTCTTGTCAGGCAGCACCTGGACGTGTTTGCCGCTGGTCCTGCTGTACAGTTGGTAGATCCGGATCAACCTACGGCTCACCGGGTCCGTCACTTTACTCTGCTCGCTTACATGCTGCGTGAAATTAGGCGAGGACTGATTGGTTACCTGTCAGAAATTAAATGCCATCACACACATCATCAGTTTCTTTTCCTTTACTGTTTATTTTGCCTTTTCTAAATGCTCTTTATTTCTTTTTCTGAAATAAACATCCACGTGTTGTCTACATTTTTTGGGGAGTTTATGGGACGAACCAAAAGACAGTTGCGTTTGTTACACCTCGTTGTTGTGTTTTCAGAGATTGTAACAAGCTGGATGTTGCGGCTGCCAAATGAAACCGACTGCTTCCAAATGTGAGTGGTGGTTCGCGCTGCACTGATTACAGGTTGCGAGCGCAGGGAGAGAATGTGGGATCGGGGCGCGCGGACACCCGGACACATTTACACACTAAGTTCGGAGCATGATATAGAATTGTGTTTTCGCTGTGATGAACTGACGCAACTGCCACTGCATCTGAACCGACACCGAATGCATTTTTTTTAGAGACTAATGTAACGGACTACCTGGCCTGAGCACACATTAACCGACAAGGCATCACATATAATTATAACATTTTAAATGACTTTAGATTAGATAGATAGATAGATAGATAGATAGATAGATAGATAGATAGATAGATAGATAATGTACAAATAGAATAAATAAAAACAGTGTCGTACCTGGTTGAAGTAGCTAAATGCAATTAAGTGTAGAAGCCTACGAAAAGAAAAGGATGCAGTGATTAGCATGGCGTGACATCATACGGTAAATGTTACCGGATTTTGCAGGAGTAACACTCACAGGTAGCTGAGTCTGGAACGGATCATCCTACTGGACGGAAAGGGGAAAAGCGCCTTCCAAAGAGTGGAACTGCCTCTCGTTAACAGCAAATATAATATGCCGATAGATTAAAAAAAAATAACATAAAAAAATTAAAAAACGAGACCTCAGTGTCAAATCCACTGAAAAGGTCAAAAGGACTGACTGCGTTCTGAGTCCATCACTGGTCAGCGCCTGCTCCTGCTCGGGTCAGTGAGACAGCAGTCGCTCATCGTCGGTTGCCGCTGCCAAGAGAGCTCGAACGGGGGGGGGGAAAGTACCGCACGCGGGGCCCGGCACAACTGTCCGCCGCTGCTGAAGCTGCTGATTAAATTCCCGTTGTCCTCCTCTTCCATACAAGCCGGACCTGTCAGTGAGTTATTTCCACGCCGGGTGTGTACGTGCTCCTCCGCGGCCCTCTCTGCGCGAGCGAGTGCGTGTGTGAATGAGCCACACAGTAAGTTTGACCCGCTGCTGCTGCTGCTGCTGCCGGTGCTGCTGGTGCTGGTGGTAGTGATGCTGATGATGGTCTGTCTCGTGTCAAGACGACTTCTCTCTATTTGCACTCACACTCAAAACACACCCCTGGTTTAAAATGGCAAGGTGATTTGCTGAGAACGACCCCCCCCCCCT